GCCGTCTGGTGTTTACTCAAACTCACCTGGAGTCATTAAACGTGTACCATTCTCCCGAGGTGGGGTTGCGACAGTAGGCTGTGTAGTGACCACCCATGGTGGTACCCGAGTGGTTTGACACTGCATACAGGTTGTACTCTGCGTTTGCTGAAGGGGACAAAAGACACAACAGAAGTCAACTCAAAACTTACTGCTTTGACAGTTAGTCTTTAAATATGCGTTACAGTATTTTTATGTTTTATATTAGGATGAAGTTTTTGATTAAAGCACCAGTAAATATCTAAATACTGGCTAATAACAAAAGCAGAACATAAAGCAAGTAAAGATGTTAGGCTAATTACTTACTGCTGTTGTCAGAGGCAAACTCTCGCAGGTCAAGATCCTTCATAGGGAAATTAACAAAGGTGGACAGTTTGCTTGTTCTCCGCGCCTCAGAGAAGCGTTTCAGGTCTGCAGTGGGCGCACGGTTAAGGAGAAAACAATCTCTGCTGCGTCAAATCAAAACCTGAGGCCGTTTTTATATCTCTGCGTCAAAACTCCTCTGTCTGAACAACAACACAGAATCCCTGCTGGTGCTGGCGGAACACACCAGAACCAGAACCAGAACCCCACCCTGGTGTCTGAGGCAAAGGATACGTAGCACTAAGATCTTGGGGAACTTCTGTACTGTGAATTTCTTGGTACACCTTCTTCTGGCTTTACACCTGTAGCACGTCTGGAGAGAACAGACAGCGTTCAGTTGAGCCACAGGACAAAGTGACCCAAGATACAACAAACTACGTTCTCTGCAGTGCACATGTGGAGCTTTTAAAATCTGCACAACAAAGTACACAAAACTGAAAACTGTGTTTGTTAAACTCTGTGGTTTTGATTTATTTTTGATACTGTGTTTGCTGTTGTTTTGTTTTGTTAGTCTGTGCCTTGTTGTGTTCCTTTTTGTTTCCCCTGTGCCATCAATCAGTTTCTGTTCCTCAGTGTGAGTGCCACGCCCATCTACACCTGCTCTCTGTTTCACCTGCCACAGCTGCAGCCACTTCCCTCATCAGTCCCAGCCTTTGTAGTCTTTCAGTTCTCCAGCTTCAGTTGAGCATTGTGCATTATTCAAATCTGGTTTCTTTTATAACTCCTTGTGCCTAACCTCAGTTTTGTA